AAACAATTATAATTGCTCTGCTCTATCCATGGATTCTCCATACATTGATTCTGTGGACCTTTGAAGGCAACCATAAGACTGAGGTGACCCTCCATGCAAATGAGTTTGACAACCCAGATCTATATAATAATGTTGTTTATTCATTCAGTCACTTCCGACTCTCCGCCAGAGCTCCCTGTCGGCCATCACCACCCCTAGCTCCTTCAGAGTCAAGCCAGTCACTTCAAGGATACCATCCATCCTTCTTGCCCTTGGTCTGCCCCTCTTCCTTTTTCCTTCCATTTTCCCCAGCATCATTGTCTTCTCTAAGCTTTCTTGTCTTCTCATGATGTGGCCAAAGTACTTCATCTTTGTCTCTAATATCCTTCCCTCCAATGAGCAATCGGGCATTATTTCCTGGAGGATGGACTGGTTGGATCTTCTTGCGGTCCAAGGCACTCTCAGAATTTTCCTCCAACACCAAAGTTCAAAAGCATCTATCTTCCTTCGCTCAGTCTTCCTTATGGTCCAGCTCTCACATTCATTGGTTACTACGGGGAATACCGTTGCTTTGACTATGCAGATCTTCATTGACTATAACTTCTTAGACTCTGTAGATCTTCTATCATTATTATTATTATTATTATTAAAAACCTTATTTGTAATAATAATAAAACCTTCTTTATAATAATAATAATAATAATAAACCTTTATTTGTACCCCGCTACCATCTCTCGAAGGACTCGGTGCGGCTTACAAGAGGCCGAGCCCAAATACAATAGTAAAAACAACAGCAACAACAAACAGCAAAATAACTCAAAAAACAAAGCAATAACCTTAACAACACACAGTGACGCAATTAAAATCAATGGCAGGGCCAAATGTAATAATTAAAATTAAAAGTGCTGGGCATGACCAGGTGGAGTGTTTGGAGGGGGATGGGCATGCAGATATCCTAGATCTCTGATAATGTGCATTGGGACATAATGCTAGGAGTTTATCTATTTCCCTGAAGGGACTCAAGGCAATTTCCAACATATAAGGCAAAACATTCAAGAAGAAAATCATAGAGACGGATTAATATAAAAGCATCATAAAACACAAAAATACTACTGAAACACAACAATAAAAATTTAAACCAATTGCAATTATAACTCCATCAGACAAGGTTAAAAAATGGCAAGGACTAAAAAGTGGTCAACTATAAAAGGGCTGGTTCAAGGGATAGTGCAAACAGTATATCATAGGGCCGGGGAAATGGAGAAAATGCAGAACAGAGTATTAACTGATGACCTAAGGACTGGGCTTGGGGACTAATCATTCTCGAAAACCCGCTACAACATCTATATAAAGCACGCATGGGGAAACTTCAGCCCTCTGGGTGTTTTTGGCTTCAATTCCGGCAATTCCTAACAGCCTACTGGCTGTATGGCCATGTTCCTGAAGCATTCTCTCCTGATATTTCACCTGCATCTATGGCAGGCATCCTCAGAGGTTGTGAGGATTGCCTGACAGACTATGCAGGCAAAACTTCAGGAGAGAATGCTTCTGTAATGTGGCCATACAGCCTGGAAAACTCACAGCAACTCTGTTTCTGACCATGAAAGCCTTCGACTATACAGCCAAATGGCTGTTAGGAATTGTGGGAGTTGAAGTCCAAAACACCTGGGCGGCGGAAGCTTGTCCATGGCTGATATAAAGCAATTATTTGTGATGTTGAAGGCTTTCATGGCCTGAATCACTGGGTGCTGTAAGTTTTTCGGGCTGTATGGCCATGTTCCAGAAGCATTCTCTTCTGATGTTTCACCTGCATTTATGGAAGGCATCAGACCTCATAACTCTGAGGGTACCTGTCATAGATGCAGGCGAAACATCAGGAGAGAATGCTTCTGGAACATGGCCATAGAGTCTGAAAAACTTACAGCAACCCAATAACTTGTAATTTTTATACATGCCACCTTGAGGTTTACAGAAGCCATACCTACTGAAGAAACAAGCATCTCCTTCCACAAACCTGCCCGATCTTCTGGGGTGGCCTTACTTTTGCCCCTTCCTCCATCACAAGCTCGACCTGTGGGAACGAGGGAGATAGCCTTCTCCGCTGTGGCCCCCAACTTTGGAACTCATTGCCTGGTGAGATTAGGCAAGCCCCCACCTTCAAGCAGCCTTCAAGAAGGATCTCAAAACCTAGTTTTTCCAGTGTGCCTTTGGAGAGTGACCATTTACCTCTTTTGTTGCTCCTCTCATAATGTTGTCCTCATATTGCACTTCCCTCCACCTGTCCAAAGGCCTGTCTCCACTATTCCTTCCCCTACAAGATTCTCCCTTACAAATATTTCTTTTTCATTTTTATCTCATCCAAAGTTTTATCATTTTATGTCGTATATTTGGCCCGCCCATTGTGATTGATTTCTCATTGTATTTTTGCATTGTTTTATTGTATTCCTATGTTTTATTTATTTTACTGTGATGTTAGTTCTGTTGTTCTGCCTTTTTTTCTGTAATGTACTACTGAAAAAGATCTTGGGGTCCTTGTGGACAACAAGTTTAAACATGAGCCAACAATGTGATGTGGAGGCAAAAAAAGCCAATGGCACTTTGGTCTGCATCAATAGTATAGTGTCTAGATCTAAGGAAGTAATGCTACCCATCTATTCTGCTTTGGTTAGACCACACCTGGAATATTGTGTCCAATTCTGGGCACCACAATTGAAGAGAGATATTGACAAGCTGGAAAGTGTCCAGAGGAAAGTGACAAAAATGATCAAGGGTCTGGAGAACAAGCCCTATGAGAGTGGCTTAAAGAGCTGGGCATGTTTAGCCTGAAGAAGAGAAGGCTGAGAGGAGACATGATAGCCATGTATAAATATGTGAGAGGAAGTCATAGGGAGGAGGGAGCAAGCTTGTTTTCTGCTGCCCTGGAGACTAGGACGCGGAACAATGGCTTCAAACTACAAGAAAGGAGATTCCATCTGAACATTAGAAAGAACTTCCTGACTGTGAGAGACATTCAGCAGTGGAACTCTCTGCCCCAAAGTGTTGTGGAGGCTCCTTCTTTGGAAGCTTTTAAACAGCGGCTGGATGGCCATCTGTTAGGGGTGTTTTTTTCCCATTGACAGAGGGTTTATTTACAGTTATTGAATAAATATGTTATTGTATCTACATGGCATACAAATGGTATAGAATCGGATCTTACAAAATAGGCTGCTGACAAATAAAATGGTAGAAATCGAATAGCAAGCCCCCCAGACACAGTTATGTACAGCTATGTACATTGCAATTTATCTTTTTTGGGCGGAGTGTGGCAACTTATCTCAAGCAACATTTTAAAGTAATATATATATATTTTTAAAAGGGGTGAATGCGCAGGCAACTAAAAAAAGGCACTCAGAAGTGTGTGGGTTCCTGAGCGGACTCAGGATGGAGATAAGCCCAAAGGTAATCAATGCTTTTGTATTTGGCTCTGGGCAAAACTTGAAGGCAAAATGATATGCCAATGCTGTGTGCTTCTCATGCACACAAGACACATCATGGAGAGAGATATGAGTCTTTTACTTGAAAAGTGCACCAACATCCTATCAGGCGTGTTTTGAATGCAATATTCCTGCTTCTTGGCAAGGGGTTGGAAAGGAGATTCCACCTGAACATGAGGAAGAACTTCCTGACTGTGAGAGCTGTTCAGCAGTGGAACTCTCTGCCCTGGAGTGTGGTGGAGGCTCCTTCTTTGGAAGCTTTTAAACAGAGGCTGGATGGCCATCTGTCAGGGGTGATTTGAATGCAATATTCCTGCTTTTGGCAGGGGGTTGGACTGGATGGCCCATGAGGTCTCTTCCAACTCTTTGATTCTATGATTATTTTTATGACATTTATATCCTGCCCTTCTCACCCTGATGAGGACTCAGTCTCTATGATTCTGATTCTATAGTCTTGGCCTTATGTAAGCCGCCCCGAGTCCCCTTTGGGGAGATGTTGGTTGGGGTATAAATATAGTTTATCATTATTGTCGAAGTTTATTATTTTTGTCGAAGGCTTTCGTGGCCGGAATCACTGGGTTGTTGTAGGTTTTTTCAGGCTATATGGCCATGTTCTAGAGAGGCATTTTCTCCTGACGTTTCGCCTGCATCTATGGCAAGCATCCTCAGAGGTTTATTATTATTATTATTATTATTATTATTATTATTATTATTATTATTATGGGGAAGTATTTTTTAAATGGTGTTAACAAGCTAAAGAAGCGTTGGGAGGAGGAGGGGCTCTTTCGTGTTGTTATTCCTCGCAGCTGTCACGGAAAAAGCTTCGCCTCCGCCGTGCAACTTCCAAAAGGGGTCAGACGGCGAGGGAGGGGGCGGGGCCAGGCATGCAAATCGCCGCCCACGTGACCGACAGGGCCTCGCGACGTACAAGAGGAGCTCCCAGGGAGGAATAGGGACGCATTCCACTCCAGAGGAGGACGGGTCTGGCCAATGGGCAACCTGTTCCCTCGCCCCTCTCCTCGTCGTGGGCCCCTCGCGCTGACACCTGCACAGAGAAGGAGCGGGGAGAGGACACGGCTCCCTACCTACCTCCCCAGATGCCGAGCTTGAGCTGGGAGGAGTCCAGGTTCACCACATAGTCGCCCAGGAAGCGGTTCAGGACGTCCACCACCACCGACTCGAACACCATCCTCGGGCGCGGGGCCTTTTCTTGAGCCCCAGAAAGGGCTCGGTCCCCTCAGACGGAGAAGGAAAAGGCGACGCCGGCCGCGACTCCCCGCCTGGCTCTGTCGCGCCTGGCTCGGGGCGTGTGGTGCTTTGCCTACTGCGCATGCGCGCAAGGCGGCGCTGGGGCTCGTCCCTTCCTTGACAAGCTTTCGGGGCCGGCAGCGCGCGACGCTTCCTCGCTCGATCGCTCTCTCTCCTCTCCTTTCGATTCCAGGCTCTCCGCTCTAGGAACGCTGCCGCTGCGCTCCTTCCCCCCTCCCACCTCGGAATGCGCGCGAGACGCCACATTCCCCGGCTATACGCGAGCGAATCTATCTAGCTATCTCTATATATATCTCTCTGAGGCGTCTCGCGCGCATTTCGAGAGGGGAGGGGGAAGGGAAGAGAACGGCGGCGGCAAGCATTCTACCTCGCGCGAGGCTGGACTTGTCAGTTCAACGGCCACTTGTAAAGAAGGACGAGGGCCACAAACTCCACGCTTCTTGTTTCACTTTCGTTTTCTAATTAAGAACAAAAAGAAAGATCCGTTTTAGGCACAATGTGTTTAACCCTGAGGAAAATAAAACGTCTCTTGTCACTCTGTACGCCTTGAAATTCGTGTGTTTTCTGTCACTGTTGTGGTGCCTGTCTCGAAAGGGAATGTACTTTTGAGAAACTGCAAGTTGCTTCTGGTGTGAGAGAATTGGCCCTCTGCAAGGACGTTACCCAGAGCAAGCCCGGATGTTTTGCCTATCCTTGTGGGAGGCTTCTTTCATTTATTTATATATTTATTATTTATTTATTTCAAAGTTTTATATACCGAGCTTCTCACCTCATTAGAGGGACTCAGCCCGGTTTCCAACCATAAAAACACATACAATTGGTAAAATATCAAAGTACATAATTACAATAAAACACTGGAAACGCACATATATTTAAAAACTACAGTGGTCAGTCGTCATCGAATATACACCCGTCTTCCATCCAGATCGTTGTCTCATTCTTCGAAAGCCTGTCTCCACAACCACAACTTCACCTGTTTCCTGAATGTCAGGATTGTTGGGGCGGTTCTGACCTCAGGCGGGAGAGAGTTCCAGAGTCGTGGGGCCACCACCGAGAAGGCCCTGTCCCTCGTCCCCACCAGCCGCACTTGTGAGGCCGGTGGGACCGAGAGCAGGGCCCCTCCAGACGATCTTAGTAATCTTGATGGTTCATAGGGGAGAATACGTTCAGAGAGGTAAACCGGGCCGGAGTCGTTTAGGGCTTTATAGGTTAACACCAGCACTTTGAATTGTGCTCAGAAGCTAATTGGCAGCCAGTGGAACTGGTGTAACCGGAGTGGTGTGCTCCCTGTACCCATTGTACGTATTGTATTTGTATACTGCCTTTCTCAGCCCAGAGGCGATTCAAGGCGGTTAACAGCAAAATTCAATGCTTACAATTATAAATACAATAAAAAAACATAACATAAACAAATCAATAAAATATAAATTCATAGTGTCTCCTTGTTAAAAACGTTGTCCGGACTCATTGTCTAGTCGTTCCATTTTCCTATGTCAGTTACTCTGCATTTGCAAACGCTTGTTCAAAAAGCCACATCTTGACTTTTTTCCAGAATGTTAAAAGGGAGGTGGGGCCACCACCGAGAAGGCCCTGTCACTCGTCTCCTCCAAACGTACTTGTGACGAAAGCTGTAACGGGAGCAGGGCTTCCCCAGATGATCCTAAGGATGAGAAGAGATGCATACGGACATGTAAGTTGGGCCAGAACCGTTTCATGTCCCCCCCCATGGGGAGCTGGAGCTGACAGGAGGAGCTCATCCGTGTTCTCCCCAGATTCAACCAGAAACCTTCAGGTCAGCAACCCAACCTTCTGGTCAACAGTCCTGCCAGCACAAGGGTTTAACCCATGTGTGGCGAGCTAGGATAAGCTGTCTCTCCACAGGATTGCAGAGTCAGACCTTTAGGTTCAAAAATATTTATTGAAGTCAAAGAAATACATTCTTGATAGGAAAGGTCTTGGAGCTGACCAGCTTACTAAGTCTCATCTTCTATGAAAGGTAAAAGGGTAAAAAATAAATTTAAAAAATCTATGCAGCTACATTTTGCCTAAAGAGAGAGGCAAAATGTGCATCCACACTAGAAGGAAGAAAAGGCAGAAGAGACAATGGTGACGAAAGGCCACATGGCCCAGTCCTGCCGGCTTAATCTGCGCCACTACAGGCGTACTAAAAGTTTTGGCTATATTTTATTTATTTATTATTTATTTATTTACGAAATTTATATGCCGCCCTTCTCACCCCAAAGGGGACTCAGAGCGGCTTACAAGTAAAAAGTAAATACAATACATTATAGTATTATCATAGCACAATATTAATATTATATATAAAATTATACTGTAATACAGGCTGAGACAGTATAACTTCCTTTTTTCAAAACTTAATAAAACCCATTGTATGAATCAGAATTTTTTATATATATAATGTAGGCGCATACCTAAAGTTTTGTTTTACGTAGTTTTGAAGATCAAATTAGGTAGGTGACGTCCCCCATTCTCCATACACTGAGTAAACCGATTTCTGGTGTTTGTCATGACTCTTGCCAGCATAGCAGGCGTTATGTTGGCAATTTCTTCCTGGATGTTGGTGTTCAAATCTTGTAGGGTCCTTGGATGGTTCACATAAACTATAGCACAACTATAGTCTATTGTTCTCTGACCATGACTGTCTTAGTGAATCAGTCTTTTCTGTTATTCTGTTTCAAACATAACTCCAGAGCAACTGGGAAGCTTGGGAGTTCTAACTAGCCACCAGCTAGCTGGTTCTGCCCGGATGTACTGTTATCCTTGTAAAGTAACTTCCTCTCTGCAACATTGTGTTCTCAAACAATCAGCACTTTCTGTAAACATAGGCCTACTGCAGAAAGAGGCCAATATGGCAGCAAATCAGGACATATGGGCATTGGGAAATCTCTGAACATTTCCTTTTAAAACTATGTTTCCTCCATTGGGAGGCCAGACTATAGTTTGAAAAAAAAATGCACATTCCTATTCATACTGCATTAGTCTTATTTGTAGTACAAAAATATGAAAGAATAATGCAATATACACTGGCAGATGAGAGAGTCGAGTTAATTATGATTATTGTTGTGTGCATCCAAGTCATTTCAGACAGTGGCATATGCTATGAAGGGCAGTGATGCTGGATGAAGGTGGGCAGAGAAGGGAGGGAGGGGGAAAAGCTAGGCAGGTGTTCAGCCTCCAGGGTCTGCCCTTCTCAGTCATGCAACAGCAGCAGCAGCGAGTGCCTCGGGCAAGCAGGACAATTGGGGAGCTTTCCTTTATAAAGAAAAAGCTGAAGGAGAAGAGAGAGATATAAAGACAAGGGGCCACTGGGGTGGGATGCCTGAGTCTGGAGGCACCTAAGGAGAAGGCGACGTGTAATCGGGCTGGAGGGCTGCCATCTCTCTCTCCTGAGGAGCCCATCTTTTCTGGGGCCCTGATTCCCAAGAAGGAAGTCAAGGGAGGGAGGGAGGGAAGAAGCCTGGAGAGAGAGGGCCAATGGAAATTTGAACACAGGCCACACTTGGCCCAGGGCCGGACTTTGGACATGCCTGCCCTACGCTATCTCTTTGCTATGCTATCCAAAACATACACACACACACACACACACACATGTATATATATGGCTGGAGTTAAACTTTAAAATGTGCCTGTTCTGACTTACATACAGATTTGACTTAAGAACAAACTTACAGAACCTATCCTGTTCATAATTTGGTAACTAGAATCACCAAAATACATTACATAGACTGAAAGTAGTGGCATTCAATATTTTTAATAACTGTATACATGAAATGAAAGTTCTGTACACTAAACCATCAGAAAGCAAAATTGTTGTTATCTTAGCCACCTATGGATTTGGATTTCACATAAGTGGATTCCCAACCTATATACAGCCCAGCCAAAGCATACAAGTGGAACAACCTAGGATTCTGTCAGTAGATAAACCATGCATTGGATATTTACTCAATTATATATATTTCCTAACCACATTTAATTCCTGAATTATTTGCAATATTAAAATACCAAAAAGAACACCACAGCAATTGGCCTACTGCTGCTTCTGCTGCTGCTGCTACTACTACTGTGTTTCCTTGAAAATAAGACACTGTCTTATATTTATCTTTCCTCAAGAAGACACACTATGGCTTATTTTCAGGGGATGTCTTATTTTATTAAGTATAGTAGAACAAACTGCATTTTTGGGATGATCTCTCTGGGCTCAGTAGCAGACTGCTTGCTGTGAAATGGCAGGGAAATAGGTTTTGAGGAAAGGAGAGATAATTACCAAGAGACATCCTTTCTGGAGATCAGAAAAGAACGGCTTTATTTATCCAGCTGGTGACTCTGGTGGACTCGTGTCCCAAAAAGCAAAACCCAGAGCCCCGATCAAGGTGCGGACTGGCCTTTTATAGTCTCCAATCGGAATGAAACAAAGAACATACATCTTCATACAATCATCATCATCCCTACGTCATCCTGGCATCATAAGAATATCAGGTTCCCCCTCCAACATGCAAAAAGCATGTCTCTGTGTCTTGCTGAAACCAGAGCAAGCATGGAGTATCCCTCCTCCCTCTTGGCTGTGCCTACGAGTCATCCATCAAAGGGGCCTCCTCTGACCTGTCAAAAGGTGCTTCTCCGTCCTAGCACGGGTTTCTCCAACAGGCTTATCTCTCTTCTGGAATGCATACCCCCCTTCCTCTTCAGCCCCTTTTGGAGACAAGCAGCTTGCTTGCTGTTAGCATTCTTGCTACACAGAGGGAACTAGATTTTCCTATACATTTAAAGTACATATGATTTTTATGCATAAATAAATCAATAAATATCTATATTTTCCCAATATCTCCTCATCAATTCCCCCCTTTAGGGGTTTAGACTGTTCAGTCTAACAACCCCTACTTAACTTCTATTTGAGAATAATTTCTTTCCTTTATTCAAAAGCATTCACCTGGGGGTGTTTTCAGAACCTGGATTAATCTATGTTGCAACCATTGAAAAGACTAGGAGGATTTAAGACTCAATGGTCTGACTTTTGCTCTTATAAGACTAGAGTAGCCAAACTATAACTTCCTTATTAA